GTCTCTGTAGTGCATTGAGATTTTGTTGATCGAACATGAAATGGATACACAGACAAAGCCAGGCCAAGTACATGGCGAGATGTGGCCAGAAGAACGTCTTCAGGTAGAGAGCGTATTGCACCCACTGTCTAGTCGATTTTGTGGATCGCACATGAAATGGATACACAGACAAAGCAGGCCAAGTACATGAGAGAGTGGACGATGTGCAGATCGACACGGCCTGCGGGTACTTCATTAAAGTTACCCGTCACATAACTAGGATAAAAGTTAATCACTGCAAAAACATTGCCAAGTATGTGAGCACTTTGGAGAAGAGTGCACAGGCGACGTTGACAAAAAATACCGCGGTGACTGTCACTATCATGACAGCAGGGCACATCGCACGCAGCATCGCAGATCGTGTAGAATTGCGCATCATAATATTGCAAAATTGCTCCTGTGCATGCAAGTGGATTTCATTGCACTTCTCAGTTAGGGAAATGCTCGATTATGACAATTCTCCGTGTGAGTGCACTAGCCCTGAACAGACATGTAGGTGAACCGTTTGTGGTGTCTCATAGCCTACCTCACGACCTTCTGCTTTCTTTCTTCATCACTTGTATCTTGCAGGTATATCATCCCGTGACGACCACATTGAAGTCTGAATTTGAAGTGTGAAGATGCTTCAGCAACCACATCGTACTTTTCCATTGCTTTCATTGTGCTTCTACTGCGCATGTGTGTAACTTGTGGGGTAAACATGTGATGACATTGTATGCTGGCGACACGGTCAGATGTTCATGCGTCTAACGTACACCTGCATGTTATGCATTGAAAAGGGTTTGCCACTTGCGATCCTGGGACGAGTATCAGGTCCGCTTTGTCCTGTGTGGGCTGTATCAGATTGCTGTTCACTTCTCTATCTGTTGGATATGTGACTTTCTGCAAGTTTCTGGTGTATGATGGCCACGTCCTTGCTTGTCACTTTGTATGATATTGCATTCTGTATTCGCTGCTTCCATGGCATGGTCTGCAAACTGCAATCCTTGGGCAAATGTCATGTTTGCTATGTTGTGCTTTGGCCGTCAGCTTGTCTACACGCTGTAGTTGAATTATTTTTGTTTCACAACTGACTTCCTCAAGTACGGTGGCCACTGCTTTGCATGGCATTATACATGAAGAATTTCCTGTTTGTGTCGTGTGCATGTGCGTATGTGTGCGTGGCCACGTGTGTGTGCCGTGTGCATACACATGTTTGTGTATCTGTGTGCGGGGTAGCGAGGCGGGGGGGGGGGGGGGGGGGGCTGGTATCATCATATATATCAGTGTGTTATTGCAGTCGCATGGCTACATACAGTACATCGCGCGCGTGGTCATCATGTTTACCTTCGGGGTTGGGGTGGAGAGGGAACGGAAAAAGAGCTGAAATTATCCATATAAAAATCGCTCTGTGAGCGGTTCTGAAAAACCTTTACTGGTACTGCCCCGTCGTAAAAGTAAGAAATTAGAACTGGCCCATTGTCCCCCCAAATGCGAACTGATCCACCTAAATCGCGAATGACGGGACCCGAACGCACCAGTAGCACGAGGTTCCCGTAGTACCTGTGGATGCAGATGGGGACGTTGGTCCGGGCCATAGGCCATGTACCGTACTAGCGGTAGGCTTCCCTATCAAAATAATAAATTCTACTGCTACTACTGGTGTTACCCTATGATAATTGCCGTGATCCTGTGCCCTCCCGACCTCGTGCTACTGGTGCGTTCGGGTCCCGTCATTCGCGATTTAGGTGGATCAGTTCGCATTTGGGGGGACAATGGGCCAGTTCTAATTTCTTACTTTTACGACGGGGCAGTACCAGTAAAGGTTTTTCAGAACCGCTCACAGAGCGATTTTTATATGGATAATGTACATGTACGCGGAGTTTTGCGGACTACCCGTCACTATTAGTACTAGTATCTCGTCCGCCCCGGGATACCTGATAAAGACGGATTCACTCGCATATTCTGCTACATGTACAGTGTGAGAAAGAGCTTTGAAGAAGACGAGCCTGAACATACAATACTGTACAATACTGTATTGCCATGATTTTTACCCTGTTTTTCTTTAAAAACACTATCTGCTTGACCTCCGAACCCTTTACCATGCAGACCACCATGCACCAGCACGGATCAGGTGCATTGTACACAATTGTGTAGCCTACATACTAGAACGGTGGTACAATCATGTAGTTATTCTCCTACATCCGAAAGGATGCCAAATTATGCTCCAAATTTTCAACCACCAAATTATGCCAATAATTATGCCGGCATAATCCGCCGGTGCCTAGTAGGCATTGGCGGATAATGCTCGAAAAGCCGGTGGCAGATTCTGCTCGAAAAGCAGTGAAATTGGCAGAACCATACAAACCTTATGGCGGGCAATTCCTCGAATTCTGCTCCATTTCTTTATCCACGTACCAAACATGCATGAAACTTACCAGAAAAAGTATCGAATTCTGCCAATTTCTCCGCCGGCATTATCCGCATATGCCTACCCCGGGCTGGATACCGTCTTGCTACTATGATAGTCTTTACCATGTACCATTAGCAAATCCATGACCCCGCAGGCTCTTCACTGAGTGCTGATGGCACTGAAGACAGTGAAGAGTACTTCAAATCATGATAAATGTTTCATGACGTACTAGTCCTGTACTGAGTCTTGCTGATACTAAGTGATAGCGATGAGTGTGCCTCCCACCCCCACCCCACCCCCCCCCCCCCCCCACACACACACACACCTTGCGATACAGTAAAACCGGAAAGCTTAACGACCTATTGGTTAACCCTTTACCATCCGTGCGTTCTTGAATCAATCTCTAGAGATCGATGGACATGCATACACTAAAACATTCGCAACTCGATCGGAAAGTTTAACGATCGATTGGTTAACGTTTTTGTAAGTTTGGCATGATAACGTGCAGAAAGTTTAACGATGGCTACCTGGCCACCCATCTGTATGCGCATCTTTACACAGACATCTCGCGATAACGTTTCTTCAAATAACGAAAAAAATAATTGGTCGTTAAAACGTTAGACTTTGTGACTCGTTAGACTTTCCGGTTTTACAGCATGCAGCACGTCAACAGGCTTGCTCAGAAACTTCCGTTCATCTATTCAACAATTCGTAGGGTACCCTGTAAAAAGGCCCTAGGCCTGTGGGACTGCCCTATTCAAAATTTAATAGTAGTAATAATAATTTGTTTGAAAGGATTGGGAGAACGTCAAATTCAAAGTATCAGTCCGACGGGGAAGTGAACTGCCTGAAAAGAGAAAAAAATGCCAGACCCACCAGGACTCGAACCCGGGACCTTGTTTGTCATGAGCAATGCTCTGGCCCCATAGCTCAGTGGTTAGAGCATTGCTCATGACAAGCAAGGTCCCGAGTTCGAGTCCTGGTGGGTCTGGCAATTTTTTCTCTTTTCAGGCAGTTCACTTCCCCAACTGATACTTTGAATAATAATACTAATAATAATAACAGGGAGATGTCGAATACATGTACCGGTATTAGACAACAGGGTCAGTCACTAGTGTCATCATCATGCCTGACCCGATGCAGCCGGTATATCCTTCCATATCATCCTGATCACTCACTTACGAGCGGTGCCTTAAAAACCACTCCCTGCTTCAAAGTATCCCGGAGCAAGTGCTAGTAACGATAGTTTCATTTTGTCGTCATTTGTGGGAATCTCAACTTGATTCACGTAGGTTGCATTTGGTTGGGCATTTTCAGAATATAAATGACAACCATTCTGGAATGGGAATCGCCAAGAATCGCCTGACCAAACAAACGCGCCAGAATCAACTAGGAATCACTTGACATAACAATTCCATGACGGGCGAGAATGATTCCGAGTGATTCTCATTTGGGAATGTGACCAACCAAACGTAACCTTAGTTTGAAAATCTTGAATACCGGGTGACTGCGGTGCTGAGGCCGATTCCTGTGACCTAGTGAACCTGTAGGGGCCACTCACTGTAAGTGTAAGGCTTATGCACGAGGTACAGAGAGCTTCTAGAAGAATGCGGCCTGTATCAACATTTCAACAATAATAGAAAAGCTGACAGGATCGCTTTTCTAAATTTTAGTTTACTAATACCAAGAGTAAATAACCGTTATGTACTCTTGCCAATACCCGCAGTGGCTGTTACGATGTTTTCCACACACTCTGAGAGTAGTCTGAGTACGCACGGCATTAGAGAAACTTGATGTGATCAACCCACTCTAAAGAATGTACAGTCAGCCTCGACCTTGCTTATCCGGTCCTCTTTTAATTAACCGGATCCCTCGCCATCCGGAAGAAAGTCGCTGGTTACCAATTTACAGCATATGTCATGCATACATACAGTACGTGCCGGTGTTCGATGATCCGGTTCCCTCGCCTATCCGGATATGTTTGGTGGAAAACGAACGTTTGCTTAAGCGAGGTCTGGCTGTACTGAGACTCATAAGCCGCATACGCACACTCTCATGACCAGTGGCGCTTTGATTGCAACACTTTCACTTTCTGTAGGATACCTTTCGGAAGCCTCGAAAATCATCAGTTCAGCATGAAATGAACCGTGTGAGACGATATATACGTTTAGGGTCCGGGGATAGGCAAGCACTGCAATGCGAGAATGGGAACTGCGACGGAGGCCGCCGGGCAGCATGCACAGCGCAGCCTGCGCGTAGCTCGTGTGTAGACAGCGTAGTGCAGTCACCACACCAGCAAACGGTCGTCATGACGGCCGTACTACATTGTACTGCATTGTACACAACTTAGTCAAAATACATGTAGGCGGAAGGGTGGCGATGAGATCGCCGGTGGTACATGGTCACCACACCACAGATGTGCTGCGGTGCTTGATCGCCACACCACATATTTGCGAGCTGCGCCCCCCCCCCCCCTCCCTGCATTGAAATTTAGCACGGTGATTTTTAAAGCAGCTCTGACACGACACTGACGTAGTAGTTGAAGACCAGAGATTGAGTGCCGGGTTGTAGTGTTGCCAGGTTACCATGGATACTGTGGGGTGCATGAGCAGGAGCGAGCACTGCGGCCGACAGGTCCTATTCCCACAGTAACAATATGATATGTTCATGACTTCTAGGGAACGTCATTACTATGTGCTGTTTCGATTCGCTGTTCAAAGCATTCAGGAAAAGGCAGTGTTCAAGATGCACCGGGGAACTCGAATAGTATACCAGTAATTATGTATGATAATATCAAAACACTCTATGAGGCAATCAGCTATAAGCATTCCAGCCGGCGAGACCTCAGTTGGGTGACTAGATGTACGAGTCGTATGAACAAGAATACATCGCATCCCTGGCTCGCGATTCAGTACTCAAAGACATTGTACACACGCGAGCGCGCGCGCGCGCATGCACGCACACACTCACACGTGCACACACATACACACACACGCTGCCATAGTATTCAGCTATAATTAGTAGAGGCAGCCCAGCTAGAGTTCAGACCCAGCTCCATGACAAAATAAATATGGCTTACCAGCTTGTACTTCGAAGTATCGCAGGCGAGCAGGCATGGGGGGGGGTTGTTGCAAGCATGCATGGGTTAGACCAAGAGTACTTAAACTTTTTTTTGTACTCTTGGTTTACCCAACAGTACATGAATGCCACAGTGCCACACCACACTCACCGGCTACTTGTGCGAATCTTGAGCTCAGCACGGGCATCATCGGAGAAGCGTCAATCCAGTTGGACGATTTCCTTCAAATCAAATGCTAGTCGCTGACTTCGGGTATGTAGGCATGTGCATCGGACCAGGATCCGAATCAGGGTGGCCAGCGCCTGCAGGGCTGGCTCATCAGACAAGGACAGAAGCGCGAATAGGCGCTCAAACAGCACCATAGCGGTGGCGTGGCCGTCGAGTTGCGGGTTGCGGCGGTCCAGACACAGCCACATGAGACCGAGCGCGGATAAACACAGCACCACGGCCAGGCGGAAGATGCCAACGGGCTGCCTGGAATTGTGCGTGATACGAAGCTGACTGAAAATCAGCTCTCGTTGTAATCCCGTGCACTGAGCCGCTGATAGAACACACTGCTGAGAACCAGCGGCGACGCTGGCATGTTTGACATGTTCAGATGTCGTAAAGAGGCGCACATCCACCCGATCGCCCACCACCATTTTCTCGTCCGGGCGTGAAGCACCGTGCAAGCCTCCCGTTAGCGTGTCATGGCAAACGCATAGCAGTGACGGCGTGGCGCAGATAGCACCAAGCACGTCATTGAGCAGTGCAGCAGCTAGCTGCCCTGATCTTGGCGACACGACGGCAAGGACCAGGGTGACCAGGTTCATATGTATAGTTGTCACGGCTGCCATCAGCGCACTGATATTGTCCCAATGCACGTGACTGAACCGACTGTCTTGAGGAAGGAGCCAGCCGTCAGCAAACAAGGACCAGCCAGCCAGGATATTCGTGAACACCTTGTCTCCTTCGAGACAATTATGGCCACGGCGGTCCTCGCCTGCGGATTCAGCAGCTTTCACCGATATAAGGACCACGATTGCTTCAATTGCTGCCCGATGCTGAGCTCTTGGTAGGTTTTGTAAGAATCGCGCGGTAGCAACCATGATGGCAATCGACTCTGCGTTCAGCACCATCGTGCACCGCCGCTTGGCCAAACGAGTACCCATTTCCAGAACGTTGCGCCGTGTCTCCCAGTTCCCGCAGTTTTCGGCCAATGTTCGAGTCATCTGCACCGCATGTCTCAGCATTGCCTCGCTATCCCGGCTCGTATGCATCATGTGACACAGTCGGAGTAGGTGATGGCAATCCTCAATTAGTGCTGTCCACTGGTTGCAGTAGTGCTCGATGTACGCCGGGGGAATGGAGCGGTTTGGCGGAGTATCCTGCTGGTCGCCTGTACTTGTCGCTGCAGCGGCAGCAGCACCCGTGCTGTAGGTCTCTCCGCTGACCGCAGACGTTGCGCTGAGATTGCTCATCGCTTGCTTGCTGACCTGGACCAGCGCGAGAACGTGTGGCAGGGTATGCAGTGCATTGTGCAGGCGACTGTGCCGCTGTGTTGTCCAGACCAGCAAGTCCAGAGCTGCCCGAAGGGACCAATGTCCGTTGCACAGGATGTCTACTGGCTGCGGCACCTGCGAGCTTGTCCTCGTGCTGTGGCGCCACTCATCAGCTATGATGCATCGAATGCTGGACTGGACAAGACGGTGAAAGTGCACAATATGGTTCCCTGTCGCCGTGCTATCGTCAGCATTTGGATCCATCCGTTGAGGAGGCACCTGAGAGAGCGAGGTAGCCGGACCAAACCCCACCAGCGAGTAACGCCGCAGCTCGTGAACCAGCAGGTGCAGTCGGTGGACTGCGTAGCGCCGCGACGTTTCCTCGCCGCTGCGTTGCGGGCAAGCTAAGAACGCCTGCAGCTCCGCGACGGGGAGAATGTCCCGGGCCTCGGTGACAAGGTGGACATTGATACTGTCTGGACTAAGGTTAGCAAGCAGCATGGCTAGTTGTCTGGCCTCTGTCGATAGGGACCGGAAGGACCGTGATACCTGGCTTACGAACCTGGCCGGAACTAGGCTGCTGCTCATGTTGGGTGCTTCCCACAACTTAACCGGGCATCTTGTCAGCTGCTCCACGTACTCAGCGAATCCAGTCTCAAGTCCGTCTTGCTGGCTAATGAAGGCAGCAGCCAGTTCAATGGCCAACGGCAAACCTGACAGGTAGCCGCAAGGAGACACCAGCTGCAGTACCTTCTCCATGTCGTTCGGATCAAGCTCCAGAAAGTCTGAACCATGCTTAGCTTGCTCTTGCGGTGTCGACACAGCAGCTTCCTGTTGCTTTTTCTGCCGATCCTGACTTGCGTCGCGCTCAACGCTGAGCTTGTGAAGAAATAGTTTGGCTGCATCCCTTGCGGATTGTGGTTCCACTGGAAGCACAGCGGCTACCTGTCGCTGTAACCATTCGGGCAGGGTGGACGCGGTCGTGAGCAGCAGGCAATGGCCAGCCGAGCCGTACACTGGAATAAGTCCACGCCAAGCCTCCCGCGATGACGTTGCCAGCATGTCCCAGCTGTCGGCGTTGTCCAGGATCAGCAGCCACGGCTGGCGATGGCGCTGCAGCTGGGCCGTCATGTCTGATGCAGTCGCGCAGCTCGCGAATGCCAGGCCACCTTGGCCGCGCGTCGGGGTAGCACTCTGTACAGAGTACAAAAACACACGTTGTCTGCTCCAGAGCCGGGTCAGCATCCCGGTTGGGAGGAGGGGGGGGGGGGGTACTTGGACCCGCTTGGAGAACACCCGGTCACTTGTGACACGGTTAGAACGCAATCAGGGAGTCCTCCTAAGATTCCCTGGCATACAACGGCCGCACTTGAATGTGCCCGGTACTGACACGGTTACAGGAGTTGTGCTAGGTACACATATCCATGTACTTGGTTTGAAATCCTAGAGCAGACACTGGAACATGTGCCCGGGACTAACTTCTACTGCAGTGTATTTCAAGAGGCGGTGGAAGGCACAAGGGAAGAAAGGAACGGATTAATGATTCAGGGAATAGAGTGAGCCATCCATCCGGCCCGCACTCTTGGACTATGCCATGCAAAGAAATATCCATGTGCACTTGCCCATGTACATTGTAGCTGCTGAAGATTCACAAAAATAATGATGGCTACGATTGACAGGCGCATTGGTAGCCTTTTTGGTTCACTGATGGTAGTTAAAATAAAGTGAATAAATTCGACGGGGTTCGCGTACCGGGCAGGTCAAGAACAAGGAGTTGTACAACTCCCTGGTCAAGAACCAGCTTTCCGCTTCCGTGGGACGCCACCACCCCATGATCAGGCGTCAGATGGTAGTTGCATGCATGAAAACGGATTTGGTCGCTACGTGTACATGTACTTTGAGTGCAAGGAATCATGACGTTTCGTCCCCTCACCCGACGGTACTGTATTGGGCTTTGAAAACGCAATGCTGGCCAAATTTGAGCTCCAAACCCATTTTGACTTTCACTGCATCTACCACTACCACTGTGCACATACAATGCAGTACAGCATTGAGTTAGGGTGACCGTTTGGGGTGATTACAATGTGAACAGTACTTGAAATACTTTGACGGAGTTGCTCTCTTAGCTCTGTGCTTAGATTTCCTCAATCCTTTGTCCTACCTGCAATTGTGGGCATCCCTTGTTGTCAGCAAGCTACTGTATCAAACTCATATCCTACCTTAGCTGCAAGGATGGATGTCCTCAGAGTCTCCTCAGTGGATAGATCCAGCAAGTACACTCCACCTGGGTACAGGATGCGTGTCCGCTCAAGACGATACCGGCGCCGCAGTGCTCGGCGGTTGCAGCGTGCAATGAACGACACATACTCCAGTGCTACGCGTGTCTTGCCACCGCCACTGATCCCGGTCAGAACCTACAGACATACACACAGACGGGAACGGAGACGTACACGGGCACACATACATGTACCATACATACAATACATATATGTAGGTATGTGCACATATTCTTGCAAACACATACACACACCTTGAACCTTGAACTTGCCCATTGCCGTAGGCAATGATAGCGAAAGGACTAAGTCGGCGGCAACCGGCAGAAAGGTTCGTACACCCACACGCACACACATGCACACACGCACACACGCACACAGCATAATCGTTTGCCCTTCAAGGAGGTAGAGGAATGAAATTTGTTTGTGACGGTCGTCCAATTTTTGTGGTGGTCATGGCTGTATTTGTGGACTTCGGAGGCTTTCATTCTGCCTTATACTACTACTGACTAGTCTCTACTGTATTGGAATCGTTGTTTAGGCACCTGTAGCTGTGTTATCAGGTAGATCTGTTTTCAGTCACTTGGGTCGCTTTGTCTAGCCTATTTTGTCCTTCGTTCGTGCCATTTATCAGTGTTGTGGGTTAGATAGGCTTGCATTTGTGATTCTCGAGTAAGTCCTAATTCTTGACTGGAGTCACGACTTGATTTTTATTTGCTCAGCGAGCCCTCGTTCACGCAGTTGTCTGTATCGTAATAGTCAATATCTGCTTGCTGGGCGGACTAGCGGCTAGAATAGAGATGACCGAGTGGTCCAAGTGTGTACACGATATTGTTCCATCATCATGAAATGAGCGTTGTGGAATTGCAGTCGTCTGCCATTGGCGCTGTGACCTAAGGAGAATTAATTGTTACTTCTACTCAGCAATGAAGCGATCATCAGCTCTCTTGGTTCTAAATTATTGAGAGGACATACCGGCATCAGAATCAAGTAAAGATTAGGCAAACCTTGCCAACCTCCAACAAGAGCCAACGATATGTTCTCCAAATGCAAAGACGCTCTTTGTGAGTTTGCGACTTGCCTGTCCCCGGGGAAAATTGCGGAAAAAAAATCGCAAAAAACGCGGCATAATATGGCATAATTTGCGGTGAATTTGCGGTAAATATGCGGTGAATATTATTGATATCATCTCGCGGCGGCAAGTTTGCAGTTGATATGAGGCAATTTTCAGTGAGTATGTAGTGAAATCAATCAGTTACAAGTCTCTGGTGTAAGCGCTCGTCATATTTGAGTACAAAGCCGCCACCGGATGAGACGTTGCTGACCGAACAGTGCACTGTGTGTACGTGTAGTGCAACAGAAAAGTTCAAAAATGCGGGAAAATCGCAGAAAACGCGGTCTTTTAAAAAATCGCAAAAAAACGCGGCCGCGGAATCGCAATTTTCCCCGGGGACAGACTTGCATTATTTTGCTTGCATGCATGAGCAAGTCACGGACCACGGCACGTGCGTGGTTACCATGCCACCTCGAACTGACGCCATCTTAGTTGCCGCTTCTTGACAGCCTAGCCATGGGAGGGGCCCGAGACTCCGAGTACGAAATCAAACGAACTTCGTTCCAGGGACGACAAACAACTTTTGCGACGGCCCCTAATAGGCAATTCAGACTACGGCCAAAATCACCTCTGAACGTGAATCGATGCAGTCCGGGGTCAACGCTACAGTAACATGGATGGAAACCTGGAAACTGAAGCCTAACCTCGCCAAAACCGAGGCCATGTTCTTCTCTCCCTCGCCCCCCACTCAGCTTCTGTATTTTCCTGGTCTAAATAGTACACCTATTAAAGTTGTTAACGAGCACAAGCACCTGGGCGTTATTCTCGACCGCCAACTCTCCTGGTCTCCACAAGTCCAGTCTGTGTGCAAGCGTGCGAGTGCGTCCTTAGGTATGCTACAACCCCACTGCCAACACTTGAATGATAACTGCAGAAAATTGTTCTTTAAGTCGTACATTTTGCCTATATTTGACTATTGCGATATAGCTTGGTGCGGGTTGTCTCAGACTTTACTCCACAGACTGGAAGTACATCAACGCTTGCTTCTGAAAATTCTGTTTCGAAAAGACCAAACATTTGCCTCCCTTTGTCTTTATAAACTTGCTTCCACGCACCCTCTTCTTGCCCGACATCAGCAGCATCTTTGTATCCTTGTGCAAAAAATCTTCCTAGCCCAAGTCCCGAAACATATTGCCAAGTACAACTGGTTTGTTACCACTAGACCAACACGCAATGCCTTATCACTGCCCCGAGCTAGTTCCTCTCTGTTTTTGAAATCCCCTTTCTTCTCAGCATACTCCCTTTGGTCTAACCTGCCTACTAGCATTAAGACATGCCAGGATATCAGGAAATTCAAAGTCCAGCTTTCCACACTGTCTCATCCGAAGTGATCCCATGTATTACTAATGTGCCTCCCTTTCTTTTTCTCTCCCTATCTCCTTTCCCTCTCTGACAGCATCTTTCTTTTTCTCCCTTTTAGCTTGCCGTGGTTGGCTATCACCTGACCTCTCATGTTTATTGGCAGTCTTCGGACGGGCCAGGAGATGTTGAATAAATAAATAAATAAATCTCCATGGTGATGCAGTCGCGTTTCAAATATTTATGCCCAATCGCTGATCAAACACTTCTTGAGTTGTAGACATGTGGTCACAGTTGGCCGTAGTCTGAATAGCATATCTTGAAAGTGATGACGTCAAAAACGGCCAGGGAGTAGTAAGTTGACATCAGATTTCTATTTTGGATCCACTAAGGTGTGACTTTGCTATTGCCACAGTGTGTGGGTGCATAGCAACCCACGCATGTCTTATGCAGGTGTGACTTTTTCTTCGCCACCAGTTGTCACCCCACCCCCATTACTAGCCAACCCAGTCAATTTCACTGGTTATATCACCTTGCTGTGGGTAAGACCGCTTGAAATGTGCTTGGATCCATACAAAATCTGGATCCAAGTGGATCCAGTTTTTGAAATTTTGAAATAATTGTTGCTATGCTGTGACGTAGCACTTTCAAGCCCTATTTACCAAGATTGTAATAGGGCTTGAAAGTGATGACGTCAAAAACGGCCTGGGAGTAGTAAATTGACATCAGATTTCTATTTTGGATCCACTAAGGTATGACTTTGCTATTGCCTCAGTATGTGGGTGCATAGCAACCCACTCATGTCGTATGCAGGTGCAACTTTTACTTCGCCACCAGTTGTCACCCCGCCCCCACTAGCCAAATCAGTCAGTTTCACTTGCAACATCACCTTGCTGTGAGTGAGACCGCTTGAAATGTGCTTGGATCCATACAAAAACTGGATCCAGGTGGATCCAGTTTTCGAATTTTTCAAATTGTTGCTATGCCATTGCTATGGAGTGACGTAGCACTTTCAAGCCCTATAATACCAACACCGTCCCGCGTGTGCTTGAACATGCGAGACATACAAATAATATTTAAAAAAAAAATATTATTATTTGTATGTCTCGCATGTTCAAGCACACGCGGGACGGTGTTGGTTCACCATACCTGGAGAATGGGTCGATGAGCAGGAGTCGTCGGTTCTCCTGTACTCTTTCCGCTCGTCGATAGCCCCGTCGAATGGAAGTTGGCGTGCAGCGCACGTAACAAGGACTTGCGACCGAAACAGGGCCCTTGCCCTCTTTGCGGTGGCCGTGCGTCCATCCTGGGATACGGAGTACGGGTCGCGACTCGCCGGTGCCTATTGCAGCCTCGACTCCCCAACTCCTGAAAAGCAATTAGAATAGACAGTCGCGAAAATGTCCAGTTTTTCTAGGGCAGTGGTGAGAATACCAGTGCGGGCCAAGAAACAAGCAGAATGATGGCGGTCTGTTTCACCCTTTCGTCGTACTGTGTGGCGGTATGATCGCAACGAATGCATGGCATTGTACTGAAGTAGATCTACATGACTGGATGTGCCTCGAGTCCACATAGCTGCCCCACGGAGGGAGGCAACAGCACTCACCTCCCAACTGCGCACTGACCGACCCGTGTCGGGCAGCTGCGCGTCTGCCCGAGGTAGGTGAGATCGCCGTACATTGTAGTATTACTGCTACTCAGTAGCTCTGTGCAAAACGCACTAAAAAAGAACTTCGAAAAAATCGACACCAAGGGCCAGGGCATCGTTGCCGAATCAAAGCTTGGGAAGGAGGGTGGTCAACGCTGGACCTCCGGAAGCTCTCGGGTGGAGGACGATGACCACATCAAGATTGATTCTGCGGACCAGTACTGGCAGTAGATCTATGGCGCATGGCAGAAGCTTGAAAAACAAAAAAACAACAAAAACTCCTGACTGGCTTACATTACAATTATTTACATGGGTTGAAACGTTGCGACACAGCATCGCGGCCTCTGATCTGCCTCACGCAGGGGCAGGAGAGATCAAGAAGACAAGTCACAAGATCAAGAGTCTCCAGACTCACCACTGCACCATGTACCAAGCGCCTCTCGGAAATGATGTGCACAGTACGTCACGGTAACGTGTATGCCAGATTAGCGTGGTTTATCTTTTCGCTAATCAAGTCCGGATGCAGATCGTCTCTTTTCAGCCTCAGGGTTATCATGGTTACCCAATACCCACCTAAGAAGTCGAATGATGTAGGACGTAGATCTACGAAGGACGATACTGGCTTCCTTGCGCAATGACTGCACTTGCATTGTATTTTATTATTTTACTTGGGCATTCCCAACAGACCCTAAGGTCTTCTTACAGGGTTCCTTGTACGAAATAATCACACAGCCAGTCGGTGTTTTTATCCGGCAGCACAACGGATGACGCTGTGGTCCGCATACTGTATCTGGTTGGCCGGTGACGTTCCTTGCACTTGCAGTACAATCACGTACCTGTTGTTGGTTGATAGTATGTAACAAGTTGGAGGACACGGTGTTCGGAAACACTGACCTTTCCACAACCATCCACGGTTGGTAGAGCCACGGTCGGTTGCGACCATCTGAACCGTATGGGTCTTAGACCCGGTTCTGACCCTCTCTATTCGAGGGGAGTTTTTTTTATAGACTTCCCGTAACATCAGTCTTATATTCTGTGGATGTCTTCTTGATACTCATAATAAAAATAGTAGGTATATTAA